TTTATCGTAGAGATGAGGTCTCGCTGCCCAGGCGGGTCTCGAACCCGCGGGCTCAGGCAATCCACTCACCTCAGCCTCCCAAAGGCGCGGGATTACAGGCTGAGCCACCGAGCCCGGCTTCTGTAACTCTTATGTGTAAGTAAACACTTCCTATTTTTCAAAAAAAATCATTTGTAAAAGATGTTTACAATTTTTAAAAATAGGGAAAATACACTATTTAATAACATGTTCATACAGAATTAATATTATCTGAAGCAGAAATTTTGTTTAAAGACATATACACAAATGTTCACAAAATATAATTCAAATTATTTAACCTCATTAGTGACATATGTTGAGTATGAAAATTATAAGAAAAAAAATAATGGGTGCAAATAGCTTATTTTAACTCAAGTACCAGATATTGAACTTTTTCTTATATATCTGAAGTATTATATATAGTTAGTATATTTCTGTAAAATATTAAGTGAAAAGGAAGAATAGCAGACTCCACAAAACAGTTCACATATACAGTTAATTATTTATTCATTCGGTAAATATTTACTGAACATTTACTGTGTGCCAGGGACTGTTTTGGACACAGGGAATGTAGCAGTAAGAAGTTGTATTTGTCCTTTGTATGGGAGGTAGTCATATATATATACATAAAACAATTGGCTGATTATACTAATTCTCATATCTCAGAATGAATGGATAAAACTTATAATTAAGTTGCCAGAATTGTTAGAGTTCAAGTAAGTTTTTTAAATCACATGGCAATGTAAAAACAAAAATTACCATAGGATTTATAGAATTAACTTCATAGAAAAGGACTATTTCAATCTCAAAATAATGTTACCCTTTACATATCCCATATCTTCACAATATCCTTTGAAAAAATATATCTAGCACCTCTAAAAGAAAACAAAAGCTTGTTATCTCTAATATTCTTATTCACATAACAGCAGCTAGCTCAGTACTGACTCATCTATTTCTCTAAACTAATCATCTGAGGCAAACCACAAAAAACTCAGGTAAAGTATTTTATGATGTAACCTCTAACCCTTCTATAATGGGGAAAAGTATTTTTGTTCTATGGGTAATATATCTTCCTATAATTTTCTTTAATCCTTAACCTAAGCACCAAATTTTTGCATTTGCTTTTCCATAGCCATTTACATAAGTAGATACTATGAAAGAAATATTTAAAGCCACATTTGGTTCATAGGTAGTATTCATATTTATCTTCTTTAAATTAACAGTTTATTTGCTTTCTGTTTGTACGTGTTATATTTAGTCTATTATACCCATTGTTAAGATGTATTTCTACAATGGGTGTGGAAACTGAGATCTATTCCTTTATACATATGAGTTATTATTTCTATAATGCTGAGACTAGATACACATTCTTTAACTCAGATTTTTTACTTCCAAAAAATGTGTAAAATTCTATATTAGCTCTAATACTAAATGTTTTTTAACCAAAAGCATGTAGAACTCATGCATCTACTAAACCTCACTGGATACTATAATCATGTTTCTAAACAAATTAGTTGGAAAACTCAAGAAGGCAATTTCTTATGCTCTGAACAGACTTTCAGATATATCCTCTTTTATACAAAGGAATCTCTTTTTGGTTTTGCTCATTTGGTACCCAAAAGTGTTTGCCTTTTATGTGAAAACTTTATTATAAACCATATATTTATTCT